GAGAGAGAGAGAGGAGAACTTCATTACCCGTTAATTGTTGGCAGCGATGTAATTTACATCGATTTTATTAGCCGAAACTGACCCTCGCGTAACATAACCTATAACCGTGCTAAACTCACAGCGCAAGTGAAAAAATAGGGAATGATGAAGACACGAAGAAGACGCATAATGATTTTCTGTAAAGGAAAGAAAAGAGAAAATCGAAGTAGTATGTAATTTATATCGATTTTATTAATCGAAATTGACTCTCGTGTAACATAACCTACAATCGCGATGAGTTACGTAAGATTCTAGGATGCAAGAATACGTGATAGAGACAGGAAGAGATAAAATAAACGATTAATTTATATTCGTTTTATTATACATTGAAATTTCGTGTAACATAATCTATAAGATGAAAATTTAAAAGGATTTAAAAAATAAAGAGCGTGCAATGAAGAAATGGAATAAAATCGATCGATGGTAATTAATTATTTACATTTATTTTTACTAACTGAAATTGGCCTCTAACATAACCTATAACCACTTTAAACAAGAAGAATATCGGAAGAATACGATGAAACAAACGAAAGTAATGATTTTCAATAAGAACAATGAGACGAAGGAAGACGTTATTTATATCGATTTTATTAGTTAAAGTTACATTAACATTTATTATCGTTCTGAAAATTGTGAATTGTCGATCGATCAGTTCGAATGAGAAAGAGCGCGTGGAAGGACGTGGTGAAGACACAGAGGAGGTGCGTAATGACTTTCCATAGGAGGAATGAGATAAAACCGAACGATAGAAGCCAGTCCTTAACGAGAAATTTATGCTCTACCGTAGCGCGCGGATTACGCCGACGGAAACCGCGATTCTTTTCGAATTATATATCCAAAGCGAGATGAAGGTTATGTTGCGTGCGTATATGGATTTATATACTTGTATTGTATACACGATAGACGCATGAATACATTTATGTAGGCAAATGGATTTTAAATTGCAAATCATGTGATGAAATTAACTGTTCGACTCTGTAATTCTCGAGACTGCCAATTGTCATTCGCAAGGTGGTGTACGAATATTAGATCTATCGAGGGATTTAGACGAGGGGTTTATGATAGTCTAACGTTGAATTTACGTTGTGCAGGGAAAAAAAATTTGGAGTGGAACATTTATGAAATGTTGACAGATTTTTATTATTTTTGAAATTTTAACTGTGATAGATATTTTTTTTTCTTCCTATATCCACAGATTAAAATTAAAATTATTTTCTCAAAATGTTACAAAATACGACGTAATAGTATGTCGATAAAAATGATGAATATCAAGATTTACTAAATATTTTTATTATTCAGAATTTTCAGAAGAAGAAATACGATCTGAACGAAAAGTTGAAGGTTTTTAGAGATTGATTTCAATTGTGAATAAAATAATACGCTATATCAATGCTTATGTACACATATCAAAAAAAGATCTTATTTAAACAAAGAATCGACAGATTATTTCCTATAATTGAAACAGCGATATAGCGGTGTCATAAAATACGCCATATGCCGTGTCTTCATGAAGCGTCGTGCTTTTATCAAATATTATTATCTCTATATTATTATTATATGACTTTGCACTGCAATCATTTAATAAGGATTATTACAAGAATCGACCCTAATAGATTCGTATCGGTTTCAATTGCGTCCTCTTTTCTCCAACTCTTATTCATAATAATAAATAAATGAAAAATTAACTTGAGAAAAATATTGATTTAAAAATAAATTATTTTCTAAATACGAAAGAAGAATTTACAACAAAGATCTTTTTTGATCATTTTATTTTTTATCGTAAAAAAATTATTACGGAGGAGGAAAAATGATGGAGAATTGAAAAAATTATGTAAAATAAAAAAACAAAGAAGAATATTCAATTAGACTTTCATCCTTCTTTTTTATTTTCTAATCTTCTAATTTTAAAAAATTATCTTGAGAAACGTGGAATCCAAGATTATTGCGTTTTTATTCAGAACGAAAGAGGAAAGATATCATTTAACTAGATCTCATTCTCCTTCTACTTTCCCCTCTCTTATTAACTTTTAAAAACTATCTGTGTCTACTTAATACCACCGGTTCCAAAAGATACAAGCTATATAAATTATTCAAAATAATAGGAAAAGAAATTTGATCGATGTAGCAGCAAATCGAGCGAAACTAATCTTCCAGAGTGTCCCAATAAGGAAAAATATCCACGCCTTATTATTCCTCATCCCCCTCTTCGACTCGGAGGAAAGGAAACGATTAAAATACGAGAGATCGTTTTTTTAAAAAAACATGGAAAACGAAAAGAAAAGAGGATCCTCCTCCTCCCCCCCTTCTCGCCCCTCTTACCAACGAAAACACCCACCACGTATCTTCTAAATTCAGAAATAAACTCACCACCGGTAATACAGTCCATCCGACGATAGCTCGTCTCGAACGAACCACCCCCGAAATCAATATGGAGGATACCATCGGATAGCAACATATACCAATAGTAACATCAAATCTCTATCGACTCCCCCTCCCCTCCAGGAACCCTCCCTCGTTCAAAACAATTTCACCATCGGATGCTTCTTCACCGTTCCATTATCCATCGATTCGAAACCGGAAGAAGCGGTTGTACGGGCATCCTCTCTCTAAGACCAACGTTTCCAACGACGAGACGACGACGACGACTCCCTACCCACCCCTCCCCAACGAGAGAAAGGAATAACTGCATAAATTATTCATCCTCCCCTGTTGGAAAACGAGCGAAAGGTTCGGTTGGCTCGATCATTAGATTGGTCGAACGCCAGGTTTGCCCGAGCCCAAGAGAGCGGCATCAAGATGGTGGGAGAAAAAGGGTGGGTGGTGGATAAGGATGGCATTACGTTACGTGATCCCCGTGGCAATGATTTAACCGGATGTAGTAACCGAATTCTCGTTGACACGTGCATCGCCACACGTAGGGGGTTGGAACAAGCCAAATGGACCATCGGGAGCAAATAACTCGATTTGCTCGCGTACTTGACTGGCTGGTAAGCGAGCCGGAGACGGATCCGGTAGGGGAGGGTACCATCCTGCGGAGGATTGACTGCAAGGGCGAGAGGAAGAAAGGTAGGAGAGAGAGAGAGAGAGAGAGAAAGGGCGAGGGTGCACACGCAGCTAGGATGGAAGGAAGCAAGGGAGCAAAGGAAGTTATCGAGGCGAGGTAGTGTCACCATACTCATACAGAGGTGCCCAGTTGTCGAGCAAACTAGCGGAGCCAGTCAGCCAAACAGCTCGAGCCAAGCCAGCTCTCTGGCCGGCCAGCCAACCAGCCACCGGCACCCAGTAAGCGGAACCAGCACAGTTCTTGTTTTATTCAGTCGGGATCATAAATTACGAATTTAAACACACAATGAAAGACGCTTAACAAGAAGCTAACGCGAGATTGAGAGGCCCCGCCCGGAACACCTCTTCTTCCAGAGAGGCGAACGGGCGCCGGCCAATCCGAAAGCAGAACCGCCCTTCGGCGTACCACCCGACCCGCCGTTTCCACGCCAATCCACAACCGAGGCAGCCGGGACGCCGGGATGGAATCGACCTATCGCCGCGCCGCGTGAACCCGAAACCCAAACCCGAACCTAACCCGAGTCCCCCTCCCTCCCCGACAACCATGCCTCGAGAGGAGTCAAGTCGCCGCGGACACGGTGACTCCCCGATGCACCCCAGTCGCGTACCACTTGGCGAGCCGAGTCCCTCGGCTATCTCACCCTGGCTTCTTCTCGTGTAACAGTGTCCAACCGTGTTGTCCTCGCGCGAGATTTTTTTTTTTTCGTTCCTTTTTTATCGCAAGAGTGACGGCACACGTGTGTTCCTTTCTCGCGGGGAATAAATCGTCGCCGATTTTGGTCGAAGGGGGTTTGGGGTAATAATTGGGGTAAAAGTTGTTTGTCAATACGAGGAGTTCTTCAGTCGAAATTGGAGAGAAATTTTCCTCGAGGAGTCGTGAAACGAACTTTGAACCGGTTGGCGATGAGAATTGTCGAATCGTCGTTGCGGTGGAAGAGATTCGTCAGACTTGTATCGAACTTTGAGGAGGGGAATCGGTGATATAGGAAATTTTGAATTGAATTATTGTCATTGTGGTGGGAAGGGAGATCCTGGAAGGAAGAAAGAAGAATTCGAGAAAGTTACGTTACAAGGGCAAGTTACGACACTTGGAGATCGATAAGATAGGATGGATCGATCGATTCCAGCGAGTGAGAATTAAACTTTGGAACTGTCTTCCCACTGAACAAAATTTCGTGAAAAGAACGTGAAAAGAATGATAAAAACTTTGACATAAATACCTCGTAATACAATTACAACAACCTTCCAATCTCAAAATCTGTTTAATTACCAAAAGACACAGCCGAAGCAAGGATGTACGACAAGAAGCCGAGAAAGTGATCGCCAGTGTGTATCAAATATATGATCAACATCCAACGTTGTGAGTGAGCATGTCCAGTGTGTATCAGTGACCGCGTGAACCAAAGTGAACAAAGTATCACATCCATCCTTCTGAAAAACCGGACCGGAAACACATCCCCCCCAACCGGTTTCAATCCCGGTCGAAATTTTCCGCTCATTGCCGAACTATGCGTGGTGCGAGATGGTGTGTTCTCTGACCAACAACAACAACAACAACAACAACAACAACAACAACAACAACAACAAAAGCTGCAACGACACCGGTGGCGAGCCGTGCACGGACTTGCGATCCAGCCCAGAGGCGCAGCCGGGCGAGAACATGTCGTCGTTGAGCGACGCTCACAGGCGGAACAGCCATTTGGAAGGCGACAGAAGTTCGTCGGCAGGCTCCTCTCTGGGCTCGTGCTCGCCACCACCGGCCTCGAGCCACTCTCCACCGCCTCCCAGGCCGCCTTGGCTCCACGATTTCCACGCGGCGGCCGCCCCTCACGTCCTCCAATTTTTGAACCTGAGCGCTGCCGGGGGCAGCATGCTGGCCAGCCAGCCCCTGGCGGCGTTGCACTCGATGGCGGAGAGGAGCCACCATCAGCAGCATCAACAGCACCAACAGCATCAACACCAGCAGCAGCAGCAACAGCAGCAACAGGCCCATCATCATCATCATCAGCAGGGGCAACAAACAGGGGGGGGCATACAGTTGCCGAGGATCAGCGTGCCCTTGTCCACGATCACGCAGGGGCAAGCGTCGCCAACGGGGAGCGGGAAGCACAGCCCGGCAACCTCCATCACCTCCGTCGGAAGCAATCCGCACGGCATCGACACGATATTGTCGCGGCCGGCGGCCACCCATCCTCAGGCACCCGTGTCGGCGACGCACGCCGCGCTTCAACCGACGCCGCATCCTCAGCACATGACGGCGCCTCGATACGGGATGCACGCGGGATTCACTGCTTCGACGGGTTCGTATCTTTTATTTCCCTCCTTTTTCCTTTTTTTTTTTCTTCTTTCGTAGAAGGAGATTGAAGGATCGATTGGTTTTCAGATTGGGGGATGGAGGGATTGAGGGGGTGGGAGGCGAGAGGCGAGGAGAGAAGAATGGGTGTTTAGAGAGGGAACGAATGATGCGTGGAAGGATGGAATAATTATTCGGATTTTTATGGAGGTTTATTATTTATATAGAGAAGTTTAAGGAATTTGAAGAATTGGTTTGGGTGTAGGTTTGGATGGTTGGAGGGGATTGGGATTGAGAGGGAAAGAGATAGAGGGAAGATTGGAAGTTTAAAAGGTGAATGAGGGTATAAAATGGAGTAATTTATTGTATTTTATTATTTGTATCTTTAAGTTAGGGAATTGATTAATGTGAAGTGATTATTAGATTTGAGATTGAGTATAAATTAGAAAAATGAAACTAGTTATTTGTATTTTTAAATTAGAGGATATTAATTAATGCGAGAGATTCAGTGAATGAGAAAAATATCTACATACAGAGATTCTATTGAATGAAAATGAAGATAAAATATATGATAGAAATAAGGAATGGTAAATGTAGATGGGAACAAAATGGGAAGATAGAACTGTGAGAATAGTTTTATTGGTTGGATTTCATTAAGATGTGGAAGAAAAATTGGAATGGGTTGCGCGTATATAAAACGGAAAAACAGCATTGTAAAAATAGTTTTCTCGTTTGTAAGATGTAAGGCTGATTGATTAGAGGGTGGAACGTAGAAAGGATTAGGGTTTAAAGGGTGTGCAGGTGTATAGTAGAGAAGGAGAGAATTGTAGAAATAGCGTTGTTATTTGTTGAGATTTAAAAGTTTGGAATTTGGAAGGTTTAAAAGTGATTGATAAGGATTATATAAAGGGTTATATAAAGGATTGCGAATGTGGAGGACATTTTGATAATTAGTATTCGGAGAATGTATACAGTAAAAAGAGAATAAAAAAACATTTTCATTGATTGTTTCGTATAGGATTTTAAAAGTGTTTGAAATTGTAGGATTGATTGATAAAAATTATTAAGTGAAAATTAGATCCGTGGAAGATACTTCAATGTGAAAATATGTAAGATTGTAGAAATATTTTTGTCGTTTCTTATGAAAATTATACAAGAATGCGATTAAAGAATCATAATTGGAAGATAAAGGAGTGAAAAGATACGATATATTTATATTTATTTTAAAATTGGATTAAGCGTTTAGCTTTCAAACACAGATAAATAAAGAGGAATTTGGTTTATTAATTCTGTAAATCAACCGTCACATTTTATTATGAATTTATAAAGATTGTAGGGCTGTAAAGAAGGGGAAAAAAGGATTACGTATAGTTTTGCAAAATTATAAATAGTAATTTTGGAATGAATTAGATTAATTTATAGTGTTCGTTCTCGTACACTTTTTCTCGTTGTTTTTTATTATTAGAATTAAACGAAACAAATATCAATTTTTTATTAGCATAGATAATAGAAAATCAATTTTTCAATGGTAAACATTCTTAATATTTTCTCTTTTATTGTAAATTTTTTTTTGTTTGAAATTACAATTATTCAAAAATAAGTAAATAGACAAATACGTGGATTTATTTACAAGTTAAAGTGAATTATAGTTAAATGAAAGCATGGTGAACTACAGATATAATTTTATTTCACGTTAAAAATTCAACCGATAATTAAATAGTTTTCATTGGCGACAATAATTTGTAGAAAAATTTGATCGAAAGAACACAGAGAATTCATTTTACACGATTTTTATTCCAATTTATACATTGCTTTCGCGGATATTAATTTCGTAGGAATTAATTTCAATAAAATGAAAAACGTCAGCAGTTACAGATTTATAATTTGACCGATGGGTATGATCGATCGTGTCGACAATCGAAGAATAAAAATGATCCCCGTCCGCGTGTAATATTAGAGATTTAATACGATATTTTATTCGACTTAAATTTTGATCGATCCTTGCAATTATTATTATCACCAATAATAATCTTATTTAATTTAGACGTCACTTCTCAAAATTTCTTTTTCTTACGAATTTTTTACTTTAAATTGCAATTTGTACAAAATAACAATAATAATTGTAGATGAATCGAATACAACAATTCGGTAATACATGGACAAAATAAAATTTTCAAGATATTGAAAATTGAATTGATATATTGATACTTATATAACTGAGACACGTTTCTGTTTTTTTTTTCTTTTTTTTGGAAACGAGGATTAATATTATTTAAAAGAATTACTTTATATTCTTTGACGTATTATTTAACTTAACAGGATATCTCTTATTTATTTATATTGTTAGTTATATTATATTATTGAATTTTATAGGGATTGATATATCTATAGTAGATTTTCTTTGATTGATTTTTAAGTTCAAATAAAAATGTATAGGTTCGTTTAACATAAAGAAATGAGAAAGAAGCGAGAAATTCTTTTTCGAATTCTCAATTTTGTTTGAAATTTCATATTCGTTTTTTCGCTCGTTCGTATCTCTTTTAATCTTGATCGATATTATGATTATATTAAAATGTAATAAACCAATAAGAATAGTTTTTTTTTTAGTTCTATCAAATTTCTCGTTTATCAAAAAGCATTTAAATATACCTGCTAAATTTTCTTTTTAAACTAATTTTGATTCGAATCCCGAATTTTCAACTAATTATGCTTTTATGAATTTTCGATCTCACTCTAGCGAATCAGTTTTTCTTTCTATACAATTCGTTCGAATATGAATTTAAAACGAAACATTCGGTTGTTATTCTCATCTTTTCTTATTAAGGATGTTCGTTTTAAATTGTTTTAGTTGAAATTAAACGTGTCTTGCGCAAATACCGCTCTCTACCCTGTGCACGGGCAATAATCTGTATCTGTCCAGGGGCTCTATCTTGAACTTGATCCCGGATTATCCGTGCATTTAAAATGATTAAAGCGCCAATTATTTACGGCTGCGCCCGTGTCGCGTTATTACGTAGACGAAATGAAAGTGAATTTCGAATAATTTTCCAAATGATCGGATATACCATGGCTGACGAACGCCATCGTAAATTTATTGAAATTTTCGTTTTACATTTTTTTTTTTTTATTGGTAAAAATGTCAATTCGGGAATAATAATTTGTTTACTATGGAATTAAAATTTTCAAGAATTTTATGAAAAATTCGTGTATTTTAACGTTTTGAAAATTTTCATATTAAAATCACGTGTCCTTTTTACATCGAGGAATTTTAATTTTTCGCCGCCATTGTATTGTAAAATATCTAAATTCTTTAAAAGGATTTGTGAAAATGAATTGTGTTACACGAAAATAAGGAAATTAAATTAAAATAAAATATGGAAATTTTCCGTGGTAATAACAATGTAATTTATATTTAAGTTTTCGAAGTTGTGTCATAAATGTCGAGTTTTTTGTACAACAACTATAATACTGGATAACGCGGTTGAGCAACACTGTAGACACTATAAAATTGTTTTCCTTTCAATAAAAGAAGAAATCCATGGCGTGGCACCCGTAAAAGCAACCGTGGGGTCCCAAAAGAATCTTTCGCGATTTATATCCGCTGCTGTGCTACTTCTGCCTGTGGCGGACGTTCAAATATCTCCAGGAATCGTTCTCATAATTCGCCATAATGGAACCAGCTATAGTTTAAAAAAGGCCACGTTTCGCACGCGCGAACATTGTTTAAGATCTCTCGTTTCTTCTCTCTTGTCTTCCCTTGATTCAAAGTTTTTTTTTTGAAAATTAATTACGATAACGAAATGTCAAATAGATGGAAAATAAAATTAAAATTAATGATTTATCGTTGGGGATCCTTCCTTTTTTTTAATTCTTCTTCTTTTGTTTTTTTTTTTTTGTGATATTCAATGATGTTCATTTATTATATATCGAGAAATAATAATATCTAATCGCGAATCTATTCAAATATAAATGTGAAACAGTAAAATATTTGTCGAATATGAAAATTCGGTCATCGTAGAAAATTCGTCTTTTGTTTTATTATTTCTTGCATTTCTTGGCAAATTTTTAAAGAATAACGATTATTCATTTAAAATCATTGTATTAAAAAGTGTGTTTTTCTCATAGGAAAAATCCAATCAAGTAAGAGATTAAAATCGAAATGTTTGTCTTCGCGTCCCTGACATCTACTTTATTCCCATAAATTATCCAATGATGAGATTCTCCAATAATTTTGAATGCAGAAACTCGATGGCTCTTAAAATCCGACCTTATTCCTGGCATCACGAGCCTAATTCATGAACCCATGAACCCCGGTCACGTGCCCTCCTCGTTCATAAAATGTGTTTAGTATTTCTATACTGCTCTTGATGGCCGTGCTTTTAAATTTATGGCATTATACTTTATGTGTGTATCTGTGTGTGTGCGCGCGAGTGTCGCAATATCATTAATAATGGACGTGGCGGGCTCGATGAACCCTTCAGTGGCGTGAAACACCCTCGATTCTCACGTTCTGCGATACAACATCGTTAAAATGGCGAAATAAGAGCAACAGGGTGGAGTATAATCACTTGGACTCGCGGTTAAAATTCCATTTTCTATTTGTTTCCATCTATTAAATTCCATCCACTGTGCACTAAGCTCGAGTCGACGATGATGAGTCGAGAGGAATAAATTGGAGAGGAAGAAATAAATATATTTATATTATTGGTAATTTCAATAAAAGTATATTCGTACTCTAAAATATTATTCTCCACTTGTTTACAGTATTATTTTTTTACTTATAATATATATTTTATTTCCGAATAATTAAATTATATCGAATAACGTTAGTTGATACTTTTTTCTTAAAATAAAAATATAAATATTTACATTCCGGTTTGCTTATTAATATCAAATCGTTATATTAAGAATTATTTTATTTGATGATCTCCCGGTTTCGAGGTCGACTTTAAGTCTCAAACTTGCCTAACCGAATCGGATAAACGCGTATACTCACACGAACCAAAGTTAGCGTATTTTAGGTTAACCACCTGACGACGGTAGCCAAGTTGGCTACTGAGATTTTGACTCGAAATAGCTTCTATATACTGATAAACCGTATCATTGTCTTTACGTAACGCGACCCAGAGCAAAAGGATAGAGCCAATTACGTTGCCATTATTGGAAAAAATATATATTTTTTTTTCTTTCGAAATTATAATTTCAATCACAATTAAAACTATTTCATCTCAAAATTTAACTATATATACTTCTAATACTCGAGAATTCAAAAATGAGATTACGTCGGTGTTGAATTAAATTTTATTACGCGAGTACAGATCCAATCAATCATAAATTCCTACACACGTTACATGTATTCATTACTAATTAATTCCCTCGCTCTGTCGATAATTACCAAAAATACGGTATCGTATCTCAATTTCTCATAATCAAACAAAATTCCAATTTATATGTATAAGTGTATATATATATATCAAGGGTTAACGGACGATTCGAATAATTTTCCCCACCGATGGAGGATAGAAAATGTCGCTAGTACGCTTTTCATCGAGCACGCTGTATAAACATGTATGTATATATCCCGCCCCCCGAGTAAAATAGGCGAGCAATGCATGTCGCGCAATACGGAATGCGCAGGTTCGATACGCGTCCCGTGCGTTCATTCAGCAGCCACCTCTCGGCTTCCGGCGTGGCCGCTGCATCTGCTTTCACGATAATTCACCGCCGTTTCACGCGGAGCGACGCGTGTTTAATTTTGCTCGAGTATCGTTTTCCCTGTTTTAATTGGCAAAAATTCGGGGGGAGGGGAATTTCGCTGCCTATTTTCCACTCGCGCCCGCTTCTGGCATTCTATCATTGATTTCTGAAGCTTCGACGGTTCGTATATACATATATATGGTTGTCCAATATGGTGGATGTATTTGAACGTTTGAATATCTTGGAATATCGTGGAACGTTTGATTATGATATTGAAATTTCAATTGTTTCGAACGATAATGACAACGATTATGGAACGAATATCGAATGTGGGGATGAATTATGCGTTTAAATTGTATTCGCGTTTTCCAATGATGCTCGAATTGTGGAATATTGAAAATGATATTGAGTAGGTGTGGGTTAATGATTAGATTAGATTTAAATGCGATTAAAATACCTGTCTACTTTCAGATGTCTATTGATCGTTCGAAAAATTTGTATTCCTATCGATTTGTAATCGGGGTGAAAACAGATAGATTTTTTTTAAATTGAAACAAAGATATTTCTTTCTCCCTAGTTGTTGAATATTACTTTTACCGGATCGTTTGAAAATTTTTGTGTTCACGAAATGGTTGAGAATTTGAAAGTTTGAATATTCATCGGTTTGAATGGTAATGGAAAACGTTAGGTGTTTGAAAATTGAAATAGTGGAAAGCTGCGAGCGAATGGAAACGCTCGAATCTTTGAATATTTGTAAAATTCAAACAATTTCAAATGGAAAATTTGTCACGGATAGAAACACGGTTGAAAATTTGAAAGTTTGAATATATTTTCAGGAAGATTCGAGGATCTAAGGATTAACGTACACTCACAGTTTCGAGTGAGATTAAAACTTTTATATTTCGAATCAAAAGTAATATTCGAATAACGTTTCGTGCTCTTCCGAAACTTTGTAAGTTACCATAAATACAACCAATAAATTGACACCGTTCCACAACTCAGTCAATCGTCCATTAATTCCATAGAATTTCTTCAAAAAACATCCAGCCGCCGTAAAAATCTCCGTTCGATTAAAAATGAATTCACCGTTTTTCAGAAGCGTGATCCAACCATCGGTGTTACGACACCGATCATGGAATATTTTTTGTTGATGAGCATGCGCCCCCATTTTTACGATCCAATAAATTTTATTGATCCGAGCGTAACGGACAAAAGTGGTAACGATCGTATCTCGCGCGTTGCGTTTCCAACGCTCGTTTCTTGGCCGAGGAGCAACATCGCTTAGGTAGAACACTAAAAACGGAAATAACGTTTTATTGGTGGATGCGGCGCAAGAGAGAGAGAGAGAGAGAGAGTTGAAGAGGTTTTGAAGTGAAAAAAGGAGGAGGAAAGAATAGAATTATACGATTTTTCTTCGAACTAGGATTAACGATTAGACAACGCAACAATATCATCAGTGAATTCCATAAATCCGATGTTTGATCGAGAGGGATGGAAATAAGAAGATTCGAAAGCGCGATCAATCACGCGATTCTCTCAATTGAACTTCAAAGTTTAAAGAGAAATTTGTTGATGTTTGTCGGATTTTGTTAAAATGAAGCGACAATATGCTTGATACGATCGAAAATTTATTTCGAATTTGATAATTAATCGTATACGTGAAATGAACCAATTTCTCGTTTAAAGAAAAAAAAAAAAAGAAAATGAATACTAATCGACGAGTGAGCGGAGTAAAAACTTAAATAAACGTTAAAAAATTATTTTAAAAAACACAGAATTCTCTGATCCGAGTGTGAAAAATAATGATTCGCACGGTGATATATAAATATACAAGAATATTCGAATCATGAATTTTACAATAAATATTTTTACAATGAAAAACGATGTAAAGAAATTTGGTAATATCGATGATAGGGTTCGATCGTGTTGAGCAGTTTTTGCGAGAGTTGGAAACCTCTCTCTTGTGATTGGATTGTTCGTGGCCACACGCGTCGGGTTGCGGTTCTCCGGCGCTGGCACGATCTCTTTGAAAGATATAGGGAACTGCGAAGGGGATACAAATAACATCACTTTCCTGTTGGAATTTCTTGCTGTCATATTGTCACGCCATTCGGCTACATAAATCATGGCAATATTCTAAATTCTTGTTACGTTTCCCAACAAATAATCATTGATAAAAACGTCGAATATTTCGAAACATATTTCTGAAAATCTATCTATATCTGGATGATCGATCGTTTTATTTTATAAAAAAAAAAAATATATATATATATATAATTCTTTCCTTTCAGAATTGTAATTTCTCATTAATTTCTTTACATTCGTTCCTTCAATTTCAACTTCTTCTCGGCCTATAAACTAAAATTTCTCTCCCCTCGATATTAAAATTCCATAAAGAACGTGGAAAAGAATTTAATATTTTACGAATCTTAAAGCGAATCTTCGTAAGATTTATAAACAAAGGTAACAAAGGTAAGAAGAAATAAACTGTTAAATGCACGAGGAGCAAAAGGAGGGGAGGGGGAAGAGAAGAGGACAGTTTCATGACACGTTTGCTTTGAATGCAGGTATCGGGCAATTTCAACAAAGAACGGAGCCACGGCATCCTGCTGTCTATTGGCCAGGTCTTCAGGGATTAGTGAGTGATCCCCTGGGATGGAGAGCAAGGCTACACACACGTGAGTTTTCTTTCCCTACGAGATGTATGTTCGCTTACCACCACGGATATACTTTTACTGTATCCGATCTATTAAAACAGAGATTGTTCGTGACATTTTGCAAATAAGATAAACGAAAAGAAGAAGTGGAAGAGTTTAATCTTTGCTAGTAAGTGAAATATGTCCAGTCCTTCGTGAGAAACGGTATTCTTTTTTAAAATTCTCCGTTCTCGTGGATCGTTTCATTGAAAAGAGCGTCCTATTTTTTATGTTATTAAGTACATTACATTTTGAGCGAAAAAAGTAGATTCTTTTTTTTTTAATCAATATAATATACTTTGCAAATTTCTTTAAATTAAATAATTGGAACGTTCTCTTTCTTACTTAACTCGTGAATATAAATATTTTTACTTACTTATTTTTATTTTTCATTAATAAATAATGCAAATAAACCAATCCTTTCTTTTAGCATTTTCCAAATATTTTCTATATCTATTAATTTCTATTCCATAAATGAACAAATCTTTTTCGAAAGAGAATCGATCACATTATACGATTTTCCACGATTGTAAATCGGACTAATAGAAATAATATTTGTCTCCGAATATAGAAGATCGTCACTGAAACTGTGACGCAAGAAGAGACAAGAAAGGAGAGGAGAGGAAAAAGAAAAAAACGAGAAGTGAAAAAAGATTGGATTCAAAACATCGATCGGTAGGCGGGCAGAGATGGCATTTCTCTGCCCGCGGGATATTTCGTTTCGCCCGATATTACTACAGATTTGACAGCTGCTCGTGTTTGCTTTTGCGGCGAGGAAATCGGTTGACCGGAGCGAGGAAACACGTGTCGTCAGGGTAACGTTAAATACCCGTACGTGGATCTAAGAAAATAAGTTTCTTCTTTTTTTTCTTTATGAAGAAAGAAAGAAAAAAATCAAAGATGACGAGAGCTTGGAATTTATAACAATTTTTCTCTCCCGAACGCGGTATTTGGATAGAATTAAAAAACCATCAAACGATCTCGGTTCGTATTGCTGCTGTAATTTATCGCGTCACATTTTTTTTATATTACATTTCATTTAATCGACGCGTCTCTCTCGTCTGAGTCAAACAAATCAAACAAGGGTTTAAAACAAGAAGGATTTTGCAACCTTTACACCTAATTCAAAAACAAACCGATCGATTTATTGAATAAAAATACTTCTTAATTATTAATTTTCAATTCGAATCTCTTTTATAAATCATATCCCTCTAAGAGGATGCAACCGACCGAATTATATCGAAAACATTCTCTAACAAGCTGCCTATAAAAGCATTTCCAAAAGTCTCACAAATTCTACGCCAACAGACCAACCACCACCCCATAAAGTTGCCGTACTCGCGAAACCTCGAGGGCAGAAACTCTCCACAAACCTCCACAGCGATTTGTAAAAGCGATTAAGGGCGCCGCAAAGAGAGGGAAAGAGAGAGAGAAAAAAAGGAAAATCAGGAATACAGAGTGAAAGAACACGTGAGGTTGGCGGAAAGAGAGAGCCATCCCCTTTCGAGGGCATACATCAAGCGCCGCCGGTGGCACATGTGTCGGCCACGCACACCACCACCCAAACCGAAAACCCGCTTCTGTTTTGGAGGGATGAAACACGTTCCACGAGCAGAAGAAGAGCCAAGCCAAAGTTAAAGCACCCTACACACACGATCACACGATTACCGCTCGAGAATTGTTACGAGTCGATCTCTGATATCGTATTATCTGTTCTCACAATTGAGAACCGCAACTCTGCTGGCAGCAGAGTTCTAATCCTCTCTCGAGACTAATGATGGATAGTAATTTTTACCAACGTTGGAATATTTCGAAGGTAAGCCGCAAGCATTTTAACATTTTAACGTGTGAAAAGATACGTGAGAAATTTTAAGTGGATATCAAAATTTTGGAAACTTTTTCACGACAAATGCAAGAAATAGAGTTTATTCCGGATTTTATATCACGAGAACGAAAGAACCAAAAGATAAGACATACCTTGACGCTGTGAATAATCAACATCTACGATAATTGCTATAAATCGATCGCAAGAAAAGGATCAAATCATCGATACGAAAATCAAATTTTCAACATCAAAAAAAAGAAAAAAACCTCAATTTTCACCTCTATTTTTCCCCTTCCCCAAGCTCCCAACCTCTGCTACATCGATAGTCAGAGATTCTCGTGTGCAAAAGAGGGAGTGGTGTGCAGGCCACTTAACCCATCGAAAGGAGGAGCGAAAGGGGAGAAAGGGGGTGTAGCAAGAAGGGTGACGAGATAGGATGTAAGTACGCAGGAACGCGTGGATGGGCGTGGACGGGAAGGAGCCGCCGTGTGTTGTTGGAACGTGTCGTGTCGGCCACGGATGTCACTCTGGAACGAATATAAGAGGGATATATCCGCCTCGGCATATCCGGAATATCATATTCAATATCAACCCTCGTATCCCCTGCGAGCCCTCCCTTTCCTCGCTCACGTGAATAACTCTCGGCAATATTTTAACTGCGCGCCCGTTATCCGCGGTCTATCCCGCCTTTTCTATCATTCCTCCACCCTCCCTCCCCCTCCCCCTTTGTTTCTCTTCTCTAAGTTGAATTACGAGCGGGAATATGGTGGATCGTGTCGATACTACTCCAGCGCTTTATATTCCTGGCTGGTTAGGTCGATCGGTTGCACAGGGTAGTGGTGGTGGTGGTGGTGGTGGTGGTCCTTGAACGATCGCCGCGGGACATGGTTTATGCGATCCACGGGAACGGTTTTATCTTTTTATTAAATACCTGGACCTTTGGAATTGGTCGGCGTTGATGGGGTGAGAGGTGTTACGTGGGTGTTTTGGGGAATTCGAGGGGGAAAGGGAGGGTGAGACGATTCTGAAGATGGGAAGATGATTTCGATTTGGATGTGAAATTAATTCGCGTGAATTTAATTTCTCGTTCGATAAATGGAGCTCCGTTTATTTATTCGTCGTTTTACGACGAGATTTAGGGAAATTGTACTTTTATTTGTTCAGAAGGTGAAGATACAATCAGGGATTGATTTCGAAAGTAACGGGGTTACATACGTCTTTTCTAACTCGATTCAAGAAAGTACGAAAAGAAATAGGTATAATTTTTAAACGAAATTATTGTTCACACACATTCTTATTCATCGTTATTAACAAAATAATCGAGATACTGAAAGAAACGATAGAATGAATTTAAAGAAAATTTCTTCTTCTTCATACTTCATAATAAAAAAAAAAAGAAAAAGAAGAAAACATCAACAATCAATCAAATGTAAAATAATTTACAACGAATTCTAAAAATTCTATCGTAGAATTGAATTAAACGCGAGGGGAAAAAACAAGAAAACGAATATATAATACGGGGATACGAAACGATTCAAGAAGACAGAGATATTGAGAAAGGGAATGTCGACTAAAATTGGTGGTATGGTAATTAAGAAGGGCTTGGTAGGAGGAGGCAAAGGCAGCACGCGGTCAGACGCGTTTACTCGCGGCGGCACATGGGCCGAAGGGGGATGATACGAAGAGGATGATGGGGGGAGGGAGGGAGGGGAGGGAGGGGGGTTGAAAAGGGGAAAGAGGAGGGGTCGTCACAACGGTATGGGTTGTGGGACTTTAATTTAATAAAGCAATTTGTAACGGAATACGGAACGAGGCAATAATGGCCAGTCGGCGGGGAGGGTTCTAATGAGCTGCTTACCGCACTGCTCCACCCTCTACCACGATCGAGCTACACGTTTCACGCGATATCCCCTATTCGTCTACTTAGAAACTGCTGCTAAACTCGGCCTCCAACAACTTTCCGGTATAATTCGATAAGTCCAAGCTTTTTGCGCAAATTTATGCGTGTCAGCCTTTCCCATCGCCCTGTCAACCCTCTCTCGAGCAAGATTGATTTTACCTTTTACGTCGAGGCTGGTGTGTGTATCGGAGGATGGTGGTGTTCTCTGGGAAATCTGGATGATCGTTCGGCCCGAGTTTCGTTGGAAAGGCATTGTATCACTGCTGTCGATGAATTTATCGATTTGGTATCGTTGTTGCATTTTTGAGGGAAGGACGAAAGTGAAGGATAGATGGGAGCGTGGTTAAGTTGGAATTCGAGTTGAGAAATATCGCTGCATTAATTAACTGACTAATCGTTTTTAACGAGAGAGTGATATTAGTTGCAATCTTGATCCGGTAAAACTTTATTCTGAACAAATATACGTAGATCGCATTGAAAAGAAAAATCTATTTCGAAGTTCGAAGTTAATAAGGACATATTTCGCTTACTCCCATGAATATCAAAAGTAAGTTTACTCTTCGAAAGTATAAATAAAAGTCTCCGTCTAAATCCAAGCAATTAATCTTCGAATCAGCGAAATATTCTTTCGGGCAAATCGATCTCAAGATCGTATCGATATCGATTAGGAGATATGCAATTTTCCAGACCGTTAGTTCCCAACACCAACCAGAAGACCCAAGAGGCACGCGTTAATCACGGCTTTTCTCGCGGCAGATCGTCTGTGAACGTGTTTTCACCGCGATAATCTCGCCCCCTGTCACGCGCCGTGCCATTCAACGATGCTATCTCTTACGCAGGATCTTGTATCCCTGCAGGACGAAAGGGGATCAGTCGTGGAGGCAAGGATAACGATAACAATGTCCGCTTATTTGCGGAACGAGGAGGCCACGTGGCAGCCACGTGCCGCCACCCGCCGAGACGCCATGATTGCGGTCTATCGCACAAGTGTTTAACCCTTGAACGCGTGATTCCGTCAAATTAAACTGTAATCTCCCTGTTTCTTTTCCTCTTCGGGATGCGGGATGATCGTGCGCGTGTCGTGACGAGAATATTGGATAAGTCGGAGAGGGAATAAAAATGGAAAGAAAAGTAGTAAAAATATTTAAATAAAGGATGATATCTTTGGGAGGGTGAGAGTTTAATTGAATTGTGTTTTCATGATTTTTTGATTAATCCGGTTTTTATATCCGGTTTTTATATCCGGTTTTTGATGTGAATATAGGATAAGTGAAATTCATATTGATATTGATGAATTGACATATATTTTTCTTTTCTACGTGCAATTTAAATTCATTTTTAATACACAATATAAATTGGAAAAATTATCTTTTCTCAAGAGTCAAATTTTCAACTCAATTTGTCATTAAAGTATCCGTGCATATGATTGTGCTTTTATGAATTTTATGTTTTTAAAATTAAAGTTTTTAGAGGTTGATGATGCGAATGAAGTGACCGGTCGAATATGAATCTACCACAAAAGATAGACTATTTCGAATCATGGTATGTAGAATAATTGGATGGTTTTCAATAGATGTGTCGTACAGAACATTTTTGGCGTGTAACGAGATGTAAATTTATGACGCAATTATCGATAGATAGGCTATGTAAATCGTCGGCACGAAACGCGTTTGCCGATGGCAAGAAGAATGACGCAAAATTGATGAAGATTAATTGCTTGATAAAAGTGACCGCAACTCCAATTGGTTTGATAAGTTTTGCGATAATGTCGGTATTTGACCATCACGTTTTAATAACCAACATGTTCAACAGTGATCGTTTATAATATGAAAAATTTGAACTGTTGACTGATCAGTAATTAATCATATTTGACTTAGATTAGAATTTCGCAAATTCTTTTTTAAAATCTTCAATCCCTATTTTTGTACAAATTTCTCAAAATCGTAACCAAACCAAGTCGTAACATTTTTTTCCCCCCAAAATTTCGAATCGTCGAACACCACAACATCTTAAAAATCTTCCACAAAATCTCAAACAGAGTATAATGTCTACCTTATCCAAAATATTCACCGATCTTGAAATATTTAACCCCCATTTTCCTAACCCCCTACCCTTAACTTCATATCCACCCAATCCCAGAAGAATCACCGTTCAGTTTTCCTCCCAAACAATCCACAAAGATCCTCGATCCACCACTGCTCCGGCGCGCCGGATGCGCCGAGTGGCCGACATCTTCTCTTCCTCTTTCTCTCTTCTCTTTTCTTTTTTTCTCCCCTTTCCCTCTCCCCCCCCCCTCCCTCTATCCATACCATCGGATGAATAGAAATAACGGGTCCTGGAAAGGGATCCGTGTTATTAGAGCGACGAGGAGAATTCCCTGGAAACGATATCGATGTTACAGTGTCGCAACAGCTGGGCTGTCAGCAGACGATGACAGGATCCGGCGGAGCCGGCGAGCACGAGGGCGGCAAGAAGAAGCACACGAGGCCGACGTTCAGCGGGCAGCAAATCTTCGCCCTCGAGAAAACGTTCGAGCAGACGAAATACCTAGCGGGGCCGGAACGCGCTAAATTGGCCTACGCCCTCGGCATGTCGGAATCGCAAGTCAAGGTAAGAGGAGATCCCGCTTAGTTTAGGGCGATTGGATTGAGCGATTAACCTTCGTCGTTGGGAAGAAGTCGAGTCGTGTCACGACTCGATTCGAGTTTGCGAAAAGATTTGGAGGGAAGAGGGGGAGGAGATCTGATTGCGAGATGGATCGCGGTGTTAGGGTCTTCTAACGCGACGAGAGTTAATTTCTTCTTTTCTAATTCCTTATTTCGGATGGAAATTCGACGATGGTTGGATTTAAAAATGGTTGATTGGGAAATATAACGTTTCGATATTTCTTGCTTCGTTCTAATTTCCCTTCCCCAGCTCGCAAAATCGGAGATGGTTGATCGCACGGTGACGATCTTCGTATCGGTTTCGTATGTGTTTTGAAAACAAATATTGTGCTTATCGGCTTCTTCCCCTTCGTTCTCTTTAGATCGTTTTTTTGTGGTTCGAGGGATCGTTTGACATCGTCACGAATTTTCTTCTCCTGGTTTATTAAGTAAATTTGGACGATTTGAAAGAGAAGATTGCAAGTTTGAAAATAATGTTTTTGAATTTTTTAACGAAGAATCTTTACGCTCTTTCCTAATTCGAATTATTTTCCAAATATTAAGTAACAAATTTAATATGTATCTCCTCGATTGATATCACAACAACAAGTTATCACATTGGAGATCTTAATATCGATCTCGATTAAAATTACTTGCAATCAGAAAAAAAAAAAAAAACTTTATACAACAGATGATACGATAATCTCAAAAAAATTGTCTCTCAATTTTAATCATATTATATAGAATTAGAAATGGATCCTCTAGGCAAGAATTTCTCTTCCATTTAACGTTTAAATATTTTCGATTTCTTGCCAAAATAATCGGAACATCGATAAGTAACGACAAAAAAAAAATAATATATATATATACGTGGAGAAAAAGAAGATGGAAATTCGGGAAAAATGGTCGGCGAGAAATTAGACATTGGAATATCGCTCTAGAATGTGGCGTTTGCTCGGTACTTTTAATAAAGTTTACGCTAATCTCCGATAAAAACGTCCGGATGATTTAAGCGTGCGCCCGGCTAATTATGAGTAACAGATGTAGATGGGTTAATAAAAATTCATAACAGTTGAAGCGTTTTCGAGCCGGGTCCGATATTAATCCGTGAATGATGGAACGGACGGCGGGGGTTGCGATAAAAAGTAAAATCAACTTAAACTGCTGCTGCTGTTTTTAACGGCCGCCATCGTTTAATATTTCCTTGTCGGCTTAAACGTTTAAGCGGGGATTACAACCTCGAAAAATCATCCGTTTTAATGACCAACAGACTTTTTGTTGCTTCGATCTCTCGATCCCTCTCGACAGAGGAGGATATTCGTCGAAAATAACTATTTCATTCTTCCTGTTATTTTCTTCCCCCCTCCTCCCCCTCCCCCTCCCACCTTTTCTCCGACAAATTCGCATTGGATATTTTTCGTCACTTCCTCTTTTTTGCTGCTCTAATTTGGAATACATTCGTTCGATTTTATTATACGTCGTTAATTCCAACGTATTAAGGGTTGTAAATCACGTATTGAAATTGTGATTATTAATGGTACGAATCGCAGGATAAATGGTTCGGTGTTATAACACGGAACCATTTAAGGGAAATGGTAGGTAAAGAAATATGACGGTACTGAAATTATTTAGAATTCGGAATGTTAAGAACAAACGATCCATAATATTAATGAAAATATTAAAAACAATTATACGTTACACTATCGAAATCTACCGAATTTCGAAACGACATCGATATTAAAATCCATTTCTCGTGAATCTCGTGACAACAATAGTAGTAACAATATCGATCGATATAATTTTGCGTGGAACGAGCGTGGAAAAGAGCAGAGTCGGGAGAGTCGAGAAAGTGTTATAAAATT